TGCTGAGAGCCGGCTGGGCTCCTTCAAGCGGGCTGACTCCTGAGTAGACTGCATCAAGGCCATGTCCTGTTGTGACCTGATAGACAATTTCCCCAGTCTTGAGGCTTGCTGATACAGCACACAGGGGCAGGGGTGTTGACCTTAGTGTATCCTGGACTTTTCTGTCAGTAAATCTGATGGGAATAAAGAGTAGGAGAAGGCTGGATTTCTCCTGCCTTGGAGCCTGTCAGAAACAGAAGAAGTTGGTGACTAACAGTGCAGTCATAAGGACGCAGTCCTAACAATAAGCCTTATCGAGTAGCGTTGAGAACATCCAGTTAAGGCCCCATTTCTCCATGCAAGCGTCTCTTTATTTTTCCCCCTTTCCTTTTCCCACCTACTTCTTTTACAGTACTTAATTACTTCTTCACTCACAGTGACTGTGGAATTCCTGGAAGATACCTATCAGTTCTTGTTCCTCTCTCTCTGTGTATATTAAATAACCTCAAGTACTGCTTTTCCCCCCCCCTTTGCAGCCAAAGCTTGTTGCTTGTTAACATTTCCCTTTTATTTTTCATGATCAAAATTTTGTAATTGCCTTTGAAGAATTTCTGTCTCGTGTTCCGCTTCAGCAATCTGTTCCATGTGCTGGAATTCTGATACGTGCATGGGGGGCTTGCTTACTTCCCATTCATGCCACAAAGGGAGCTGAAGCGTGTTTCCCTTGGAAGCACACCTCAGCTCCATCCATTAAATGAGTGAGGACTCCAGTGTGCTCATGAGACCAGTGCTGAACAATGGCTAGATTGCAGCTACAGAGTTCTGGTCTCGTATCTGTGGCACGTACTTACAAAACTGTATACTGCATTTGCTGTATTTGTGTGTTCGTTTTGTATCCTTTGACCTCTGAGGATATTTATTTACTTATTTATGCTTGCTGTTTTGGAACTAAATGTTTCCCATCATTTTACATTTTATTTATCCATTCGTTCACTTACAGATTTCTCCTTTCATTAGAAAACTGCTCATAAGATGGTCATATTTGGGCGGACCAACAGGATAACCAGTCTACACTGAATTTTCTTTTTAACCAGGTTCCGTCTGCAATTTCATTGGCCGTTCAGGCAGACATCTTTCCTTGGATTGTGCCGATAGCCCAATTACTATTTTTTAATCTCTTTATACTTGGCAGTTTATTCCACCATTCCACTCCAGTAGTTTACTCCACTTAGCACTTTATTCCATCATTCCACTCTATAGGACCCTCCATTGTTGCTTAAAGCTGTTCACCAACTATAATAGAAACGGGGCGACAGATAGACATTCTGTGAGGGGAGACCCTTTTCGATGCATTTTGCTGGCAGTCCGTTTTGCAGTAAACCCTTCCAAGTTGTTACGATGGTGGTGAATCTGATCTGCGTAAGACTAGCCTGGGACGTTTTCTGCAGTGTCAGGTCACCCCCTGCCTGCTGTTCTGTTCATCCGCTCTCTGAACTGGCTTGAAAGAAAGGGGTAGGGAAACAACAGCACAAGAGAACCAGGACTGAGGCTCACATGTCACCATGTCTCTTAACCCAGTCCTGCAAACCATTTAATAACATTACTGCTGCTATTATTATTTATAAATGGAGGGATTTTTATTGGCCAAGGAAAGGTTGGTAGCCGTAGGGCAGGATTCGGCCTAGGACAGAGCCCTACTATTAACTCGTGACAGATGAAAAGGCAAGGGAGATAGTTAAGAGTGGCCGTGGATGAAGACTGAGGATGAATCCAAGAAGACAAAGGGGACAGTAATTTTACACCATCGTTGTGGCTATAAAAGCGTGTAGGCCAGCAGAGCTGTTCCATGCGGTCAGCAGGAGGACGTAGACTGCTTGTCTCCATTTTGCTTGACACTTTGCAGATAAAAATCCTTGCATCTGTTGCAACTTGGGACAGATGGTTGCCTGGGTGTTAACTTGTCCGGCTGTTTGGGGTGCTTTTCAGTTTATTTGGTCTACTAAGAACGTCAATATGGTCGTTAGGTGTTCAAGGGCTACTGTTTTGCTTCTGTGACTGTTGTCCTTCCTGGTTGGTTTTTATCTGCCATGAGAGGGGGCGGGGCTGGATGGCAGGATCCAAGAGGTGGTTAATTCCTCCTTTAGAAAGCTACCCTGGACCCAGGATCGTTGAATAATTATTGACCGGTCTCGAATGCACCATTCTTGAGCAAATGTATCATTCTTGAGTGGTTTAATGGCTGGTGGCTGGACAACTTCTAGGATACCTGAAGGAAGTAGATGGCTTAGATCCTTTCCAGTACAGTTAAGGGACTGAATCCGTCTGTCGTCTTAATGGACGACCTGTGTCAGGAGAGGATTTCTGGTATGCTGAATCTGTTTGGACTCTTTGGGGACATCTGTGTATTCTTCATCCCGCCAGAGTTTTCTTCTACGTGAGAGTATTCACTGACTTCACTGAAAATCTTTTCTCTTGCCTTGATTTCCATCTCACCTCAGATGTTCTGATTCTTTTCCCATAACCCATTGCCAAGGGGTATTCACTTCTGTGTCGGCAGTACTATACTCTCAAGGAAAATATTGGAATCCCATGTTGCAAGATACTGTATAAAAAAAAAAGGATTTTTAAGAATTGTAGCCATTATAGTACTAACTCGTTTTCTGAATTTGAGGAACTGACTAGGGTTGCCAGCCCCCCGGTCCCAGTGGGGGACCCCTCAGTTTCAGGGGCTTCTCCCTGCCATGGACCAGCTGGTTGGCAGGGGAAGACCTCACCCCTAAATGACGTCTCTCACGATGACATCATCCAGAAGTGATATCATTGGCATCGGGGACGTCACAGGGGGACGCTCTGGTTTTTGGGCAAACTCTATGGTTTAAGGCCAATTTTACCATAGAGTTTGCCCCAAACCCAGAGCATCCCCTGCATAATGTCCCGTACGCGATGGCATCACTTCCAGGTACCATCATTGCATTGGAGATGTCACGTGACAACTCTGCCCACCCCCGGAATGCCCCCCGAATCCCCCCGCCAGAGCGGCGAGGGTACCTGGCAACCCTAGAACTGACATTGTATCTTACAGTCCTTGCAGTAACCAACAGAGTGGCCAGGGCAGGTGACCAGCTCTCCATATGTAAAGTAAGAATAAGTGATGGGGAAGGCTTAATTGTCCACCGCCACCTTCCCTTCACTCCCCTATCCTATAATCACCATTTCCTTTCCATCTTCCGTCACCAATCTAGACACATAGTCTTGTGCACGCACACAAAAAGCCTGTACGTTTTCTCTCTTCAAATGTTGTACTGGTGGTTAGGAGAAGAAAAAAAACTCTTTAATAAAGTTCAAATGAAAGAAGATAACGAGACCGGCACAAAGCGGAGGTGCAGCGTGGGGGAACGGCCCATGAGACAGAGGAAGTAGAAACAGAGAGCCCAGAAGGCAGAGTGATTGAAACACAAAGGGGGAGCCAGTAGGCACTCAGCTGAGAAGTAAGGCCCCAAGGGCAAGATAGAGATGGAGAAGATGCAGAGAACTAAGGACAGGAAAAGTGAGTGAGTGGATGAAAACTTTCTTGTAAACAATATTGATTTGACCTACCCAACTAAATTGGGTAGACATGGGTATCCTAATAGAAAAAGGGAATGAAAGAATTTCCTCCCCTTCTTTGGCTGGCAAATACAACTGCAGTATCCCCAGTTACTGAGAGGTGCCCTACTAGCACACAGTGCCAACAGCAAGGGAGCCAGTTTGGTGTAGTGGTTAAGAGCATGGACTCTAATCTGGGAGAACCGGGTTTGATTCCCCACTCCTCCACATGCAGCTGCAGGTGTGACCTTGGGTCAGACACAAGTCTTCTCAGAGCTGTCCTCTCAAGAGCAGTCCTCGAAAGAGTTCTCTCAGCCCCACCTACCTCAGTCACAGGGTGCCTGTTGTGGGGAGGGGAAGGGAAAGGAGACTCTAAACCACTCGGAGACTCGGACTGAAAGGCGGGGTATAAATCTAATCTCCTCCTCCTCTTCTTCTATCTGGGTCACTGAAAAGTGCAGAAAACTAGAAGAAGCCACACCTTGCAGAAAGGAAAGACTCCCAGCTGTCGAGTGCAGGCTCACCCTGTTTTCCAGAGAGTTTGTACCCCTTGGCCGCTGCAGTCTCTGAGGGAGGAGCAGCAGCAAAGGCAGAAAGAGATGGGAGAGTGCAGAGGAGATATTGAGAAAACAGCCATCCCCCATCTTCCTCCTCTTCTCTGTACTGTGTTCATCGATTTGGGGAGCTGCCTTAGGTTGCCATGTGGTATCAGATCCCCCCCCTCCCTCCTTCCCTCCCTTCCTCCCTCCCTCCCTCCCTCCCCTCC